GCCGCACCGGCAAAACGAGCTGGGCGAGTCCCTGGCGGGGATGGGGCGGCAGCGGGACGGCGCCTTTCATCCGCCGGGTCACCCACAAAATCAAAGGCTCTTCAAAGCCCCGGCGTTACGGGGCTGTCAGAAGCAGCTTCGATAGTTTGGCCAGAAACGTGGCTGAACCACAGACAACCCCCCCCCGGCACTTCAGGGTGCTAAATCTCCCGAAAAGATGGGGCGACACCACCCCAGTCCCCGCTTAGCCAATGCCACCTCCGCTGTGGCTTTCAAGTTGGGTCATTTTCATGCATTTCACCCGTTTTCATGCATTTTGCTGCGTGGGCCAGGCTGGCAGGGGAGGGATTTGGGTTGCGGATGCTCAGGGAGGAGGAGGAGGAGGAAGGCACACCCTGTCTACCCCCAGCAGGATAGGGCTGCAGCTCAGCACCCTCCCCAGCACCCCACTGTCCCCAGGGTGGCCCTGCCACCAGCTTGAGCGTCACATCCCACAGTCTCTGCTGCCATCTAGTGAAAAAAACCTCCCCGTCCCCTACGCCGGGAGCATCCCTGGCCCTGGGTGTCCCCCAAAAGCCACCCCTGGTCCCCCTCTGCCCCAGCCAGGGCTGCACCCCCAGCCTGGTGTGTGTCCCCCCCCGGCATGGCCAGGGTGACACAGTGCTGAGCACCCACCAGCATCCCGGCGGCGCGGGATTTTTTTCCCGCCCTACAGGGCATGACAGTGGGAGCCACGCAGCCCCCAGGTCCACCAGCGCTGTCCCAAAGGGAGAACGAGGCGACGCCACCCATCCCCAAGCCCACGCGAGGACGGGGCTGTCCCCACGTAATCCACATCTTGAGGACGTGGCCAGGGAAGGGGCACCGGGACAGCCCAGATTCTGGGGTACCCCCCTTCGGGGCTCACAGCCCGGCACCGCCGCAAGGATGCTGGCAGCAGACAGGGGCGTGCTAGAAAATCCTGGTTTTATTTTCATTTAAAAGCCGTTCCGAGCCCAGAGCGAGCAGCAAGCTCTTCCCCAGGGCGCGGGGATTTGGCCCCATCAGCACTTGTAGTTCCCAAAAAATAGGAAAGAAAACCAAAATAAATCGCACAGGTATCACCTGCCGCCCCAGCGCGCTCCCGGAGGAGGCTGTGGGATAAATCCTGTGGGATAAATCCTGCGGCACTCGGCTGCACGCGGTGACGAGGTTAACACGAACCGGGGCACAGACGCGTTGCAATCCGGGACGTTCACCGGTGCCAGCCGCGGGCTCCTTTCGGGACGTCTTAAACAAGGCGAGCGGGGCTAACGAAGCCCTGGCCCGGCAGCGTTCCCAGGTGCGGTCCCCAGCGAGGACCCCTGGTCTGGGGGGACCCTAAAGTGCTTTGCAGGGACA